CAGGCAGGCAGGCAGGCAGGCAGGCAGCTGCCGGCCCTTCGCAGCTATTGTCTGAGCAGAGTGAGGGCAGCCGCAATGCTCCCTCGGCCGATGTCCACAGCCACCGTCCTGCCGCTTGGGTAACCTGACCCTCTTGGTGCACTCGCTATTTATAAGCCTGGGTGAGAGAGGTGCTGGAGATAAAGATGAGCTCCCCGATTGTTCCCAGGCTTTGGTATTTATCCTTGCAGCCCTTTATCTGGACACTTGTCCCTGGCACTGTTCTTAGTGCCGCTTAACAGAGCCTAAAAATGTCCCCAAAATAGCTTCGTGTTTGCACACCCTTATCTAGGCACGAGTGGGCGAGATGAAAATCCATCCAGGTTCTCTGGCTGCACACAGGGAATTTGGCATAAATATAATATTAGTATATGCCATCAGCATGCAGCAAATAAAAAAATATTCACTTTTGAAGCTTCCTTGAGTACGGAAGTGGTAGATGTGGAGCTATGCTGTATGTAAATTAAATATATTGTAACTATAGAGTGATGCTTTTATTACAGAGATGTCTCTTGAGCTGTTTATAGTGCCCTCTGGACACGGGTGCTGTTCACGGCTTTATTCCTTTTTTCCCTCCACATCATTGCAGGGACACGTTTCTCCGGCTGCGGTGTGGGAAGGCAAGCACTAAGCTCACAGCACTGCAGCGGCCGTGGTAACGCCAAATCTGCCGTGTTTTGCTTTTATCAGCTCTCTTCTTCATCCCATGTTTGCATTTGAAGTCAGACAGGGGAAGTTGAAGTTCTTGAATTTTTTTTTTCCAGGTAAATGTTTTCTTACAGTTAAAATCTTGGGGAACAGATCCACGAAAAACCTGTTTGTCTCAGCTGTGCCTGGCTTGGACTTGTTTTGCCTCTGTAAGGGTGCTGGCAGTTCATGCCCAGGACTGGAGCCCCACATTTACCAGCATGCCCCCACCTTCAAACCAGCAGCAAAATCCCTATGGGAGTCCCTCGGGTCTTTTGCGTGGCTCATTTCCCTGGTCAAGGGCTCTGTGTTTGGGGTAAGTTTTTGCTATCTGAGGTAGGAATTCTTGGGTTGTTCTCTATTGCAGCAGTTCCTTTTTCTCAGCTAAATTCCTCCATGGTCCAACCCTGCTAAAGCCCACAGGCTTCAGCTAGGGATGCCCTTCACCTGTGGATTTTTGCCCATTTCTGGAGCAGCGATTTGGAGAGAGGTTGGAGCTTGCGGGTAGGGAACCCTTTCTTTTCGGGGCTCTCCACCCGTGCTGTGAGCATGCTGCCCCAGCTGTCGGACAGACCCTTTTGGTTGTGGCGTCGCCGGCTTGCAAAGCACTTCAGCCTTTCTCCCTAACTGCGGGCGTGAAGTCCCTAAACAATAAGGAGAGGACCTGTGCCTTGAGTCGCAGAGTACATATTTAATTAAAAAGCTTAATTAGAGAGGCCTGGTCTTTGATTTTACAGGTCACATTTTTCTCCCTTTTTGAGATGTTGGTTGGGGGACTTTGCGCTTTATTGTACAGCCTTTCCTGAGCCTTTTCACGCTATTGGGATCGCTAGGGGGGTTCCGTTTCACGAGGTTCACGGCTGACCAAAGGACAGGAGAGGTGTGAGCATTTTGGTTTTTTCTTCAATTGCGTATCAAGCACTCTCTTTCTTCCCTACAAAAACCTTGGAATTAAAATAGGACTTGTATGATGTATTTTTTGTTCCTTTGGTTAAAATCAAACCTGATCAACTATATATTTAAAAAAAAAAAAAAACCATCACCAAAAAGCTCTTATTTTAACTCCAGTTATGGAAGGGACACAGTAGCAATCCACAAAATCCAGACTCTATTTTCATCCTTATTACACTCACGTATCACTGTCTGTCTACGTTACAAAATAATGCAGTGTCCTTATTACAGACCAAATAGTTTGGGTTTACACAGTGAGCACGGCGTGCAGCTGTGTAAGTTAAAATAGCCGTTAGGATGCTCTGCGTTCCCGGGGAGCATAGCTCACATTCTGGATTTCTGCAACACAGATATCAGGAGCGGCAAAGCAGAGGAGAGCGTTTGGAAATAACTTACAAAAGCTGAGGGTTTTTTTAACTCTACCAGAAAAATACTTAGCTAAGGAAGGGGGAAATGTAGCGATGGCAGACTTACAAAGCACCAGAAAGAAGAGGGTGAGGTTTAACCCATACAAATAATGTTCATTTCATGAGAAACGCTGCTCTGCTTTGGGCTAAAACCAGCAGCTACCTTTTACACTTTCAAGATTTTATTGAGATTTAAAATAATGTTCATTTCATGAGAAACGCTGCTCTGCTTTGTCTGGGCTAAAACCAGCAGCTACCTGTAACACTTTCAAGATTTTATTGAGATTTGTAACTTCACCTACAGGCCATCTCTCTGTCTCACAGTGAGGATCCAGGGGAGTAACTGTACACAATTTAGCAGCCCAGTTGAGAGTTTCATGCTTGCAAAGAGAGTGTGAAACCTTCCATTTCATGAGAAACGCTGCTCTGCTTTGTCTGGGCTAAAACCAGCAGCTACCTGTAACACTTTCAAGATTTTATTGAGATTTGTAACTTCACCTACAGGCCATCTCTCTGTCTCACAGTGAGGATCCAGGGGAGTAACTGTACACAATTTAGCAGCCCAGTTGAGAGTTTCATGCTTGCAAAGAGAGTGTGAAACCTTCAGAGCCATCAGCGGGAAAGGTCTGTGTCCTGGATGAAGATGTTGACTAAAAGATGCCACCCTATAATTATTTCTTATTTGCATTTCTCCATTGAATTAATTCTGTCACAGCTATGGGGAATCTACTATAAAATCCCCGAAAACCCTTTTAACACACCCCCCTCCCCCCCCAAACCACAGCCCCAAAGGAAGGCACTTACCGCTGCCTTATAAATGTCGTCCATGGCTGGAGAGAGTGAGCGAGGGACCGGGGAACGTCACGGTCACACTCTGCCGGCGCTGCCCCCGTGAGCCCTGCTGATATAGGGGGCTGCCCGCCCTGGGGGATGTGACCAGCCCACCGGCAGCCCTGCACGCCCGTCCCATCCCCGTCCCCACAGGAATGCCTCGCCCGCGTGCCTTGGGATGGGGACACTGCCGAGCCCGAGGCTGGCATGTCTGGGGCCAGCCCTGCTTCGGGGCAGCTGGAGGGTTCCTCGTGACATTGATGTGGGACTGAGTGAGCCTTTTCAGCCGGGTTTTGGCAGGACCCTTGCTGATATATTGCGGTATTTGGCTGTCCTGACTGGACATATGCCACTGTGTCGCCTCCGCCTCCTGTGTGTTTCCCCCCGGAAGCTGCATTAGAAAGATTATACTGTGCCTAATTAAACTGGGTAATACGGGAAAGGCATGCCTCACGAAATATCCTCGTCCGGCAGCAAATGTCCCCCGGGGGCAGTGGGAACAGGGGGTGTCGGGGCCTCCTTGCCTCTGCCGGCTGTCCCCAAGCCCATGAGGGGACATGCAGCGGGGGTCGATGCCCTCAGAGAGGCCAATGCCACGTGCATGCGGGCACCAAGGCCGGGGGGGAATGTGCGGTCCTGATGCCGCGGTGGGGAGAAGCGTGGAGGCAGATGGAGCTTTGCCTCCGTTTTCTGCATTTAGCTGGGGCTGCAAGATGGGGGGGTGGCTGTCAGCTGTGCTTGATTTCAGGGATAATTCCAAGTCCTTTTAGGAAACTCTGACTCACTTCACCCAACCAGCGAGCTGACCTGTGCCCACTGCAAATGGGGAAAATCCACTCTCCTGGATTTACTGTGGATTTACCCCACCACGGTGGAGAGCAAAACACGCCAAAAGTGTCTATCCATTGAAGTGATGACCAGCGTTTTCTCAGGGCAGGGAATAGCGTTTTAATCCACAGCAACAAAAGCAAAACCTCTCTTTTTGGTGATTCGGGACTCCCTCTTGTGTCCAAAGGATGGCTCTGGCATCTCAGGGTGATGAAGTCTTGCCTCCAGCTAGCTCATATGGTCATTAGTTAGCAAAATGGAAAATATTATGAATGCAGCTGTTAGGTCTCATCTCTTCTAAAAATCCCTTCTCCCTTTAATAGAAATCATGCTGCATGCAAAAAACCTGCTGTCCCTATGTAACGCCTAGCCAGCGTAGCGTTAGCCAGTGACCCGGGGTGGTGTCAGCATGAAGCAAGGGCTCGGGTGAGCGCAGAGCCGTGTCCCCACACTACATCCTCCCAGGTTTTGCAGTCCCAAAAGGTTAACTTGCTGCAGAGCCTGCTGTGAACTGCGGTCCTGCAGGCACCCGCTGGCCTTGATTTACCCAGGCTTCAGCTGGGCTCTGCCTCTTCTCAGCATGGGGTTGGCAGATGTATTAAAAAGGAAAACAGTTGCATTTAAGGAATTAATTTTTGAAGTATGTTAGTCTTCAGAATTGGAACATATTAATTTGTAGAATTAGAAGAAAAAGGCAGAAAAAGCTGCAAAGGGTAGTAGTTATTTTGTTAAATAAAATTGGAGTCTGTCCTTAGGTGAGGGCACAGGCTGGGATGGGGGGCCTGCTTTCCCCCACCACCAAACCATCACCCAAACCCTCCTGGGCACCCCCATGGAGACCCCCCAGTGAAGTGCTGCCCCTAGGCAAACCCAGCCCTGGGCTGCTTTTCCCTGCGGGATTCCCTGTAGAGCCGGTGGGGTGGCGGGCGCTGGCCTCGGGCACTGCCAGGCACTGCGGCAGCCGCGGCAGAGGGCGAGGTATCATGCCTGGCCCCGTCCCTCCGTCCTGGGAGGTGATGGGTCTGAGTCATCCCCCTGAAAACAGCTCCTGGGATGCGTCAGAATGTATCTAGGGCCGATGCACGGCGGGAGCGGGAGCTCTAACATTGCCTTCAAAGGGTTGCAGCTGTGCTCCTGGAGGAGCTGGGTGAAATCCAGGTCGGGATGTGGAAGAAGGGTCTCCGTCTGCTTAGAGAAGGGAAATCCGGGCCACTGCCACCGTGCACGCTGACATGGGAAAGCCGCGCTTCTGCAAATGCCTGACACGAACAGAGACTTGCAAAACACACTCATGCCTACAGGGGAAGAGTGAAATCCATCTGGCAGCGAGCGCTAATGTTCCTCCCGGGGAGGGAGGCACAGGTGAGGGGCGTCATGCCAACCTCTGCCTCCCTGCTTGCTGGTCAGAGCCAAAGCTTCCAGCATCCCCTGGCTCTCTGGAGCGGTTTGCTTCTGAAAGACTTGGGAACTGGAGTTTTCTAGAGAAACCCAGAGCCTCTGCTGTGCAAAGTGCAGGGGGAGGCTGCTGCAGCAGGTATGGGGGTGTCCCGGGGAAAACCATCCGCTCCTGCTGCTTCTCTTGCCTCCCTGCACGAGACTCACGGCAGAGATGGAACATGGCTATCTATAGCTTGAGGAGGGCTGCCAACATAAGTGCCCTTAATCCGGGTGCACAGCCGGCTTGGCGGCACACCGGCTGTCGCTGTGGTTAGGTACTGCGCGTTAGCTTGGGCTTCAGCTGCATCCTGACATGCCGTTGCACTTGTCAGTCAATCCAAGGTACCAAGACAAGCAGAAGGGTTTACTGCACTTTTTCCTCCAAAATCTCAGTTCAGGTTTTCCTTTCCAGGCAGCTGCAACCCACTGCAAAACAAGCAGAGGCATCCTTCAGGTCAAATACAAGGAAATAAAAAGTAGAAGTCCAACTAAGTTGCAACTTTATTTGAGGTCAGGGGTGTTTGCAGGGCTCCTTGGGCAGTCTGCCGTGGCTCCAAACTGCAGCAAAATGCTCCAGCATTCCCTTTCCCTGCGCAGGGCACCCCTCAAAGCCCTTTAAGCACTGCGGCTTCTTCCCCAAGGAACATGTGTCACAGGCTAAATGGTCACCTGGAGCCCAGTTTCCCCAGTTAAAACAAGTTTCCTTCAAGAGAAGCATGCTGACATCCCATGGGGAAAGAAATCTGGGATTTTACTGCTAAGTAATTCTTCCTTGGAGAGTTTTAGCTGAATGAGCCCCCATTTGCCCCCTTCCCCAGCTGTGTCGCTCCCATTGATGCATCTTCTCCGGGAGCCAGGACAGGACCATCACATCACATGCCACCTCGGCGCCTGCAGGCATAAACTGCTTTAGGAAGAGAAGGGTACCTATCAAAACCAACAGACGTGCGAGCACTGCAAATTGTTATTTAATTAAGGAGACGGGACATGCAGAGGAAGCTTAATTAAAGTTGCTCTCCGAAACCACTTATTATCTCATCAAGACACTGAGCTCAGCAGCAGCTCCTGCCAACACTGGGACAGCACTAGAAAATCCCTCTTGGGCTGCCTTTACTGTATAGTAAAGTGTTTTCTCCTTACACAGTATCATCTTTCGGCTAAGTCCTGACCAAGGGAAGGTGTTTTGCAGTGAAAATAAAATCAAAATGGGTTTATCCAGCTGCATTTGCAGAGGCGTGTTTGCTTATCTGCTGCCTCTGCCAGATGCCAGTGTTACCCCTGTAGCGTTACTCCCTCTGTGCTGCAGCTCCCTTCTGCCGAGGAAATACTTTCCATCCAGACAACTTCAAAAGCCACATGTGCGCCCAGGGCATTTGGCACTTCTGCTATTATTAATGATGCTACACTGGAGCTAATTGCATCCTCCCTTAGGTAGCATAAGGAAGGACAGAGAGAGGTCACTTTCATCTTGCTGGAAGGTGCTTTTTTACCCAGACCTCCTGTGACTCCCGCTCGGGGCAACTCAGATTCACGGAGAAAAGGCTGAGAAGGATGTACTTGCCATCCTTTAGGATTCTCCACTTTTATTACAAATTCCTGGCAAGCTCTCCTTTAGCATGCACAGATTTGAAACACTTTCCTGCGCTCAGTGCGACAGTGCATTGAGGTAAGCGAAGTTCATAACGTCAGTGAAGTCACCTCAGACTACACCCTGAGTTCACTCTGGGTTCACCCCTGAGGCCATGGGCCGAACCCATGCAGGTCTGGCCCATCAGCCCAGCTCCTCAGCTCTGTTTTTGAGGTGGCACCGGGCACATCGGTCACAGAACCGCTGCAGCGGCACCTCCGCCCAACACAACAGTGTCCAAGCCTTCAGCAGCACACGGTGGCCACAGATCTCCACGGAGAGCTGTTTGCAGCTGGGGGAGGCACTGCTTTGGACCTCTGCCAGCACTGCTTCCCGGTGCAGATGCTCATGAGCACAGTAGCACAGCCACACCGCTATTGGGGAGATCAGCCCTCTGCAGGCACGGACTGGCTTTGCCCTTTGCAGTTCGATCTCAAATGCCCTGTGCTAGTATCCACCTGCGTTGCACCTTCCTGCCTTGCCGCATCTGCACTGTGCGTGTTGCGCACGCCAGTCCGTAGCTGCCTTCAGCCAGGTTGGACAGGCCTGAACCTCCTCGAGCTGCCTGCATTGCAGTGCACTGCACAGCACACTGCTGTACAGCATGGTATTGCCCGGCACTACATTGGACAGCTAGCATTGCAGTGCAGTGCACTGCACAGCACGCTGC